CCAAGATCCCAAGAGGAGAATGGAGGAGAAGGGATTGTGGTGTGGCCATCCCCCCTGGGGGGTGATTTCTCGCTTTCTGTCTCTCTTGTCTCTCTATCTTTCTGGCGAGCGCACATGCCCTATAGTAAAAACCCCCTAAAAAAAAAAAAAAGCTTCTCTGGAGTTTCTACTGCCACTCACTCTGCTGCTCACCATGGGGAAAACAGGCAGCCTAGCGCATCCGTCCAGCCCTGGCTTCTTGAAGATACTTGGCATTCACATCTCTTGCCACCTCTAGACCGAGTCCAAAGTCGATTCAGAAGCAGTCTCTGACCTCTTGGTATCAAGTGAGATGAAAATGAGAGGGCTCTTGGCAAACCGTGGTGTTGTGCCTCTGAGGGTGCGTTGGCATGTGTGTGCAAGCCCTCGGTGTGTATGTGTGAGTGAAAATGTGCAGCCAGTGAGAGTGTGTGTGTATGTGTGTTCCACGTGTGTGTCCATGCACACTCTTAGGCCTGGCTGAGTGGGGCTGACTCCACAATGTCCAAGACTCCCTGTTTAGCTTTGGCTCCTCTCTAAAATCCCTACAATCTTTTTTTGCATTTCCTTGCTGTTTGTTAGTTTATCAGAAAGGGAGGGGACACAGTCCGGAAAACTAGCAATTGTCTCCAGCCTCCTGCCCTGGCCTTGTCCTGTGCTATCCCTGGAGACCTGGCTGCTGGGAGCTTCCAGCACAGGCAGGTGTGTGGGGCCAGAAGCTTACCTGGCTCCTCTGGGCACCCATCGGCCACCTGCTGCTCCCTCTGAAGCTATGCACTGGCCATCTTCATGCTGTTGTCCCATTAACTTGTTTATTTTTTTCTTTGCTATTGTGTACATGTGCTCACCAGAGTTAGAGAAAAAGAGGGAAGGAGGGAAAGTGAGAAAGCACCCCCAACTCAGGGGGATGGCCACAGCACAACCCCTTCTCCTCCACTCTCCTCTTGGGATTTTGGGCACACGTGCGTACACACCCAGGACGTTCTTAAAGCTGTTGGATCCCAGACTCAAACTGCATAGTAGGCTGTGTGGATTCCAGTTGCTTTAACCACCACACCATAGGCCTGCCCGTTAGCTTTTTATAACATCCCAGTGCCTTCCCGAGATGCTGTTATCGTTCCCATTTCATAGGCAAGGAAAGGAAGTCTCGCTGAGGGAAAATACCTTTCCCAGAGCTACCCAGCCAATGAGTACCAGTGCTGGGTTTTCATTTCCTTCCTAACTCCAAACACCTTTTTCTTAACTCCTGTGGCCTACCTAGAGGCCATGAGCTGGCTGGTTGATTGACTGAATAAATGGCAAATACATAAATGGATGAAAGAGCTAATCAATAAATCAGTCAGTCAATATCAACCTGAAGGAGCAGGTGAAGTAGTAATAGTGATGGATATCATTTATTGAGCACCTACTGTGTGCCAAGTATTTCATCTAAGAGTGATAGAGTCACGATTCTTGTCACTCCCATTTTGCAGCTGGGGAAGCTGAGGCTCAGAGAACCTGCCCAGTATAGGAGCTTGGGTTATAACTCATCAGACTCCAGGCCCAGAGCCCATCTCGTCCTGATCCCTTAGAGGGCAAATCGGCAGAGCCTGGAAACAGTTGCCCATTCTTTAAAAAAACTGGGGCCAGTCAGTTCTCTCAAGAAGCCAGATCCATGGGGCCCCTCCTGCCCTGGCGCCATTTCCCCTTTTGTCTCTGAAACAGGTTTCTATTTCAGTCTGGGGTGGGGATCTGGCAGCCTAGGCTCCGACTCTTCCTCTCTGACTGTTGGCTTGTCTAGTTAGGGCCCATGCTCGGGCCCAGCCATGTAGAGATGTCTCCGTATTCCCCCGCCCTACAGCCAGCTCTTCATTATAGCTCTAGGGAGCCCAGGACCTGGGCAAGAGGCATCACTGGTCTGCAGAAATAGATTAGCTGGGCCAGTGGCCTCTGTGCCCAATGCTGTGCTAAATGCCAGAGACTCAGTGGTTAGTGGGTCCAGCCTACCCCTTAGCAGCCCAAGGGCTAGGTACTGAGGCCCAGGAGGATTCATCGCAGTAGTTGAGCATGGGATCTGGATTTCCAGTGCAGCACTTGTTTTCATGGCATCCGATGGAGTCCAGCTATCCAGTGGCACTAAGAGACAGATCAAGGCTCAAGTGAAGGATGACATTGTCTCTGTCATGCCAGAACGATGGCACCCAACCATTCATATCAGTTCCTGGTGCTTTGTACCTACAATGGGGATGGGGGATAGGGACACAGTGGGGACAGACTTAGTACAGGGGAGGGAGCCAGATTTTGAAACCCAGGATGGGTGTGTATCTAGGCACCAACATTTGATGTCTGTGTGACCTCAGACACCTGTTGGAATCAGTTTCCTATTTCACAGATGGGACACTAGAACCTACCTGACTAGCTCAGGGGGTGGGAAACCAGGACCATGCGAATCACATTACTTATAGGTTCTCAGGAAGTCTTAGTTCACTCCCCTTCTTGCCCTAGAGAGCCCATCATCTGAGGGAGGAGAAATTTTCTTGGGCGGCAGATAATGTGATGGTTAAGGCAAGAGACAAGGCTTGCAGGAATCTGGGATCTCCCCTGATGATTCACCAGTACTTGACATTATGGTGCAGCCTCATGTCTCATGCCCTCACAGTGGTTTCCACCACCCTCCTGAGATGCACACACCTCTATATCATGAAAAGGAAATAGAGGCACAGAGAGGCTACTGTGAGAGGGAAAATGCCTTTGTTAGGAAAAAGTGCTGGAAGATAGCAAATAACAAAAAAGCAGATTTACGAGTGGATAGACTGTGGTATGTCCATACAATGGAATACCATTGAGCCATCAAAATGAAATTCTGATCCAGTCTATGGCATGGATGAGCCCTGAAGCTGTTATGCTAAGTGGAATAAGCCTGACACAAAAGGGGCACATAGTGGCTGATTCCATTTACAGGAACTCTCCAGAACAGGCAAATTCACAAAAAGGAGATCTAATAATTTCCAAGAAAAGGAGAGAAAGAGGAATGGGGAGAAAAATGAAACAGTCCTCAACCTTGGCCTCCTGACTTGGCTGGAAACCCCCCCTTTCTGACTCCTGGATTTGTTAAAAAGATTCACTGAGGACTTGTTTTGTGTCAGGGATTTCTTATAGGTTTTTCTGGTATAACAGTGACAACCAAGGGGGTTGAATACTGTAACTCATATGTGACAGTAAGACAGGAGGGCCCATAGTCTAGTGGTTAAGGGAACTGGATTCCATATGGCTAACCAGGGTACAAATCCTGGCCCCAGTGGCTTGGTAAACACACCAGTTGTGTGTGTGTGTGTGTGTGTGTGTGTGTGTGTGTGTGTGTGCAAGCCCAAGATCCTTGCAGGATGGAAAAATGGAGGAGAAGGGATTGTAACATAACCATGCCCTATGGAGGGAATGCCTTCTCCTTCTTCCTCTGTCTTTCTCTGGTGAGTGCACATGCCCTCTTGCAATTGACCAAAAAACAAAAACAAAAACAAAAACAAAACAAAAAACAAGTAACTGGGAAATTCAGACTCAGAGTGTTAAAGAATGTACTTAAGACCATAAAGTTAATAGAATCAGAGGGAGGGTTCAAACTCAGGACTCTTCATCCTGGAACCTGTGATTCTTCCACTCTATAGGGTATTTGTCCCATAAAGATATCATGCCTCAGAGCAGAAATTCAGATGATAAAGCAGCAAAATATGGATGACAACATAAAAAGAAGAAATTAAGAAAAAATTAAAGCCACAATATGATATTACACCCACTAGGATGACTATAAAACAAACAAACAACAACAACAACAACAAAAACAGACAATAACAAGTGTTAGCAAAGCTGTGGATAAACTGGAACTCAAATGCTGTTGGTGAGAATATAAAATCGTGCAGTCCTGGGATCAGCAGTTAGCGTAATGGCTATGTCACTGGACTCCCATGTATTCGACCACGGTTCAAGTCCCGGACCTAGTGGCTTAAACTCACATCGGGTGCGTGTGCGTGCATGTCCAAGATCCCAAGAGGAGAATGGAGGAGAAAGGATTGTGGTATGGCCATCCCCCATGTGGGGTAATTTCTCCCTTTCTGTCTCTCTGTCTTTCTCTGTCTTTCTGGTGAGCACACGCGCCCTATAGCAAAAACCTCTCCAAAAAAAAAAGAAAAAAAGAAAAAGAAAAAAAAAATTGTGCAGTCCTTTTGGAATACCAAATGGTATTGTAGGCAGTGCCTCAAAAAGTTAACCATGTAACTACCATATGACTTAGTAGTTCTACTCCTAGGCATATACTCAAGAAGGTAAAAAAACATACTTTATCGCAAAAATGTATACACAAAGGTACATAGCAACATTATTCATAATAGCCAAAAAGTGGAAACAATGCAATGCCCATCAATTGAGAAGTGGATAAACAAACTATGGTATATCCATAGAACGGAATATCACTGAGCCATAAAAATGAAATTCTAATAGCACGGATGAGCCCTGAAGTTGTTATGCTGAGTGAAATAAGCCAGACACGAAAGGCACATATTGGATGATTCCCTTTACAGGAACTCTCCAGAGCAGACAAATTCATTAATACAAAAGGAGATTTATAGTATCCTGGAAATGGGGAGAAAGAGGAATGGGGAGTAAATGCTAGTGGGTACAAGGTTTCTTTTTGTGTATGTGTGTGGTAGTGAAAGTGTTCTGAAATTAGATAGTGTTGAAGGTTGCGTAACCTTGTGAATATACTTAAAACTGCCATATGTCAAAAGGTTGTTTTGTTTATGGCATGTAAATTACAACTTAACTTTTTAAAAATTAAGAGTGGGAACATGGAAATTACAGAGAAGGTTGAAGACTGACGTTGACCCTAAGGAAAAAAAGGAAAATTGACTATGAGCTTGCTGGCAGCTGGAGTGAAAAAAGAAAGCAGCCCCCCAGGTAGAGGAAATGATGAATACTAATTCCTTAAGAAACCAGCTCTTAGGACCAGCAGTTAGCATAATGGCTATGTCGCTGGACTCCCATGTAGTTGACCGCAGTTCGAGTCCCGGACCCAGTGGCTTAAACTCACTCCGGGCGCGTGTGCGTGCGTGCCCAAGATCTCGAGAGGAGAATGGAGGAGAAGGGATTATGGCATGGCTATCCCCCTTGGGCGGTGACTTCTTGCTTTCTGTCTCTCTGTCTCTCTCTGTCTGTCTGGCGAGCGCACGCACCCTATAGCAAAAACCTCTCCAAAAAAAAAAAGAAAAAGAAAAAAAAAGAAACCAGCTCTTTGGGGGGCTGGGGGTGGTGGTTACTCTAGGGCAAGTTTCCCACAAACCTGAGTTGGCCCACTGCATTAGCAACGAACTGTCAACAACACAGGCTTCCTACCACCTGAGATTCCAATGCCAAGTCTACCAAGAACTGTGAAAGGCCTGTAAGTTTTAAACACTTGGAAACTAACGTGTTAGCGTGCTACAGCTTCATGAATGCTGACAGAAGACCTAAGGTTCCCGGTCAGAGCTAAAGAACTTTGTTCCTCACAACTACAGGAATGGAGAGACCATTGGCATTCATGCTGGTTCCCCAAGTTCCACAGGCCGATGTGGGCCAAAATAATACCTGCACAAACAGTGGGTGACATTAGAAGACACGAACCTGGGGCCTGAGCCACCCGTATATTATTTTAATGGACAACAAGCCTGCCTGGCTTTGCCCCAGAGAAAGACGTCTTTGCCATTGCAGACAGTCACGGACGTGCTTTTAGCTCCAGAGGGAGACGCTATCTTTATCTCCCAAGGTCCTTTCCTCTACAGACATCCTTGAAAAGATAGTCAGAAACAAAAGCGGTCTTTGCTCACAAGACACGCAGAAACCTGAGAGATCCATGGGGAATTGTCTCCTAATACATTCATTTGCTGGTCAGGGCTGGGTTTTGTTTGTTTTCACCATTTTCACTCTTTTCTAGGTATAACTCAGTGGCATCAAGTTGCACATTGTGGTACCACTATCACCATTATCCATCTTCAGAACTTTCTAGCAGCCACGGAAACTCTGTACTTATTCAACAATAACTCTGTAGTGCCCCCTCCCCTGGGCCCTGGCAACCACAGTCCTACTTACCGTCTCGGTGAACGTAGCTACTCTAGGCCCTCCGTGTTACTAGCACCATCCAGTTTTTGTCTTCTTGCACCTGGCTTGTTTCACTTGGCATCATGTTTTCAAGGTGCATTCATGTCATAGCAGGTATCAGAATTTCCTTTCTTTATGGACTGAATGCCGTTGCATGTGTTTACTACATTCTGTGTATCTGGTCATCCATCAGTGAACATTTGGGTCATTTCTACATCTTGACTTTTGTAGATGATGCTTCTATGAGCATGGGTGTCTAAATATCTGAGTCCATGCTTTCAATTATTTTTGACCAGAATTCTAAAACTGGCATCACTGGGTTATTTAGTAATTATGTTTATTTTATTGAGAAACTACCATACTGTTTTTCACAGAGGATACACCATTTTATATTCCCACCAGTAATGCAAATGGATCCGATTTTTCCGTAACTTCACCAACACTTGTTATTTCCTGGTTTCGTTTTTTCTTTTTCTTTCTTTTTTTTCTTTTTGCATAATAGTCATACTAACAGTTGTGAAGTAGTATCTTGTGTTTGTTCTTTTTAAGGTTTTTTTTTTCCATAGGGCATGTGCACTCACTGCAGAGAGATAGAGAGAAATAGTGAGAGGGAAAATGAGACATCACCCCCTCAAGGAGGTATGATCATGCCACGATCCCTTTTCCATTCTTCTCCTGGGATTGTGGGTATGTACGTACATGTGCTCGGTGTGGTTTTCAAGCTGCGTGTTCCAGAACTTAAACCAGTCAGCCATGCGGGAGTCCAACACCTTAACCACCATGACAACTGCTGGCTCCAGCATCTGGTGGTTTTGACTTACATTTTCCTGATAATTTGTGATGTTGAGCATCTTTTTATGTACATACTGAACATATGTATTTCTTTGGAGAAATGTCTATTCCAGTTCTTTGCCTATTTTTGAATCGGATTGTTTCTTTCTTTTGCTATTGCTGAGTTGTGCGAGTTCTTTATATATTTAGGATATTAATCTTTTATCAGACATATGATTTGCAACCCCGTTCTGTAGGTCGCTTTTTTACTTTGGTGATAGTGTCCTTTGAAACACAAAAGTTTATAATTTTGATAGAATACAATGTATCGATTATGTTGTTTTTGTTACCTTTGTTTTTGGTGTCCATAGTGGTCAGAGCTGTTTTGACTACAAATGACAAATGCAATTAGCTTAGGCAAAAAATGTATATAATTTAATGCAAATAAAAAGCCCGAGGTATAGATCTTACTTGGCTACATCTAGCAGTTACAGTGGCAGCATTAGCGATCTCTTTTCTGTATCCTCTCACCTGCCTTTCTGCTAGGTTCCTACATTCTCGCTCTAGTTCTTTCTTCTAGAAGAACTAGAGCCCAGGCTGTCAGAGAGAGAGAGAAACTTTCATGCTGGTTCTACCAGAATCCTGGGGCAAACTCAAATCAGTTGTGCCTAAGCCAATTATTGGTGGTGGTGGTGGCGGGTCTGGATGAGTGCTCTGATTAGTCCATTTGGGGTCAGATGACCACCTTGAAAGAACAAGATTGCCACAAAATGGGACAGGAGGCCCCAAAAGGAAAAGATGCTCAACAGGCAAACATCCCTCCCTGGAAGGAGTCCAGGAATCTAATGGACACCCAGGGTTGGGATACTCTGCTAGAGAGGACATCTCTTACCCTAGACTTCCCCATGGGGCCTGAAAGACCTGGGGGGAATCCTTTCAGTTGGTCCCTGAAGACTTCTTGGGGGAGGCAGCACTTACGAAGCCCTGTGACTGGTGGGAGGAAGAGCCCAGGGCAGGCTAGACCCCAGCCAGAGCAGCAGAGGGGATGCAGTGCCCTGCATGTGAGATCCTCCCTAACCCCCACCCCAACACCACCACCTTGGTGTATTGTGGGATCTAAGAATGTGGCCTCTGGAGCTAGACCACCTGGATTCATAGCCTGGTAGGCATTACTTCTTCCAGTACCACGTTAGCTAACCTCTCTGTGCCTTGGGATAAAGTGGAAATTATCACCAGTTCTACCTCGCAGTGTCCTTCTGAGGATGAAATGGTGTTTGCACTATGGTGCACGGTAAGCTTCAATTATTGTATCATTATTATTTTTCATTTTCCAGCTGCTTTTGCTACTACCTCAGCAGCTCCAGCTCATTCACCATCCTTCAGTGACTCCTCCCAGCCTCTGCCTTGCTCTGAAGTCATCCTGTACGCCCTTGGCCCCACGTCCACTTGGCCATTTCATTGTCTTCCCTTCATTGGCCCTCGCGGGAATCCGGGGCCTTATGTCTGCTTCAGGGTAAGGACCCTCAAGTACATGTCCCCTGTCCACGCTGAGCTCCGCAGGCAGGACCCGGGTCTCTGTCGCTGATGACAGTCAGAGTCTGCCAGCGGCAAATGGAGGAAGAGGGCAGTGCAGGGGTGGAAGCACAGTGGCCTGGAGGAGAGCGTGGCTGCTCCCGGAACTGAAAGTCAGGCGAGTCTGGTGTGCCGCGTGTGAGGGACAGGGTGAGGGCTGAGAACTGAGAGGTCAGCAGGGCCGGTATTGCCTTCCCCCCGACACTGGGAAGCTATAGAAGGTTGAGGAAGTGGAGTGGCAAAGCCAGATTTTTATAGTCTAGGTCCTTCTGGCTCCAGAAAGGGCATGGAGTACCTGGGGAGATGGAAGACCAGACAGCGTGAGATGGTTGTGGTCCAGAGTGAGGGAGGCCCACAGGAGGCAAGGAGAGGAATTGGACAGTTGTATGAATGGAGCTCAAATAGGGGCATGTGGTGGGTCCCGGGTGGGGTCTCGCTGTCCCACTAGGAAAATGGCAGTGAGCAGGCTCTGCCCACTGACCTCTCCAGTGGGATTAGAGGACAGCAGGCGCTGACCATTTTAAACAAGTGGTGACCCTACCTCCTGTGTCATCCCATAGGCTCCCTCAGCCCATCCCCGCCCCTTGGCAGGGGCCCAGTCAACCACAAGCTCCAGGGGCCAAAGCCGGGTCTCCCCACCAGCCCCACCCACGAGAGCTGGTGGAGCCAAGGACAGTGGCATGGCACGGCTGAGCTGTGCTAAGGACATCTGGTTCCCTGGGCAGGGTGGGGTTTAGGCTCCTCTGCCCACACAGTGGCCAGCTCAGACCCGGGTGCCCTGGAGCAGATGCATGCGCTTCCTTCCTGCTCTGTGCCCGCAGCCTGCCTTGCAAACCCACGGCTGGGAGAGGACAGTGACCCCTGGGAACAGGGCAGGGGTACGAGGGCAGGCAGGGACCAGACACTGTGCCAGTGACGCACCATCCCGCTGGCTGATAGTCCTTGGGAGTCATGACCTTAGCGTCCCCGGGCGGTCAGGGCCGGAACTGGGAGCTGGCTGCCCTGCTTCCCTCACCAGCCACTCATCTCAGTGCCCACATGGTATGCCACCCCAGGGCCTGGAGGCCTCTGCTGTTTCCTCCACTGCAAAATGGGCATGAAGAGTGAAAGGAGAGAAGTCTGGAAGTGCTGAGAGTCCCGTCCCCAGTCCAAGGAGGGAGGGCCTGCGTGGGCCGGGCATTTGGAGCAAGTCACCGCCCAGACTCCTCTGAATCCCCATGTGCCAGAGCCAGGAGAGGACAGCCAGTCTGGAGAGCAGGCCTGGGACACAGGACAGAGGTCTCCCAGGCTGCTGCGGGACTATAGCATCCTCTTGCTGCTCTGGGTCTCAGCTTTCCCTTGCGACCTGAGGGCCAGAGCAGGGCGTATTCCCCACCTGTCCCCACACATCTATCTTCCCAGTACTCTGGCTGCCAGGGCCTGGTGGGGTCCACCGACGAGATGGACGTGGGCAGGCCCCTGGAACCTCTCTGTCCCATGACCAAGGGTTGGAGACAGATAGGTCTGTGATGTTTTCTCAAACTAATTTCATGAACTCTGCAAAGGCATCGTCCCAACCAGTCCCTCAGCCACATCTTCCAGATCCCTACTTAGGATCAAGTTTCTTTGACCTGGACTCTAACTAATACATCCTCCCGACAGTGGCCCAAGGCACCTCCTAGGTCGCAGGTTCGCTCATGCCTCTGCCCTGTTTTAGAAACCATGGTGGGTTGTGGCATGGCCATTAAAGCAGCTGGATCCCATGTGGCCGACTGAATGGTTCAAGTCCCAGGCTCCAGGCTTGGTGTCCCAAAAAACATGCTAATTGCATGTGCATGGCTGCCCAAAATCCCAAGTGGAGAATGGAGGAAAGGGGATTGTGGTATGCCCATCCCCCTTGGTGGGGGCCTCCTCACTCTCTCTCTCTCTTTCTCTGCTGAGCACATGTGCCCTATAGCAAAATGTTTAAAGAAAGAAACCATGGTGGGCTGTCGCTCGCTGACACCCATGATGCGGAAGCCAGATGTGTAGCTCAGCATTTTCAGGCCTCTTGGGACCTAGCCCTGAGGAACTCGCAGCCTCGCCTCCCGCTGGGCCCCTCAGCACTCACAAACTCGCATTGTCAATCGTTCTTTCTGCTTGGGACACTCACCACCCTCTCCTCTCCTGTCCACATTTCACAAAAGAACCACCTCCTCCTTCCTAGATACCCTGGGTGGTGTAGGAGCCTCCTCTTCTTCCCAGCGACCTCTAGGTCTCAATCAGCATCTGTCTTTCCCACCATCTGGGGCTCCTCAAAGGACCAGGACCCAGAGAGGACCCTGCACATCACAAGTCTCCGTGCAAATGCACGTTTGATGAATGAACAAGCAGCGAGCGAATGAGTGAGCGAGCCAAGGGAGGGAGGTCATTTCTCGTGAGTTTAGCTGACCTGTGACACAGTTAAGAGTGATCATTGCAGGACTAGCAGAGGGCATAATGGTTATGACACTGGACTCCCACATGGCCTATCATGGTTTGAGTCCTGGACCGGGGAGCTTGAAACTCACACCAGGCATGTGCATGCGTGCCCAAAATCCCAAGAGGGGAATGGAGGAGAAGGGATTGCAGTGTGGCCATGTCCCCAGGGGGGTGATTTCTCGCTTTCTGTCTCTTTGTCTCTCTGGTGAGCACATGCACCCTATAGCAAAAGTCTCTCTTAAAAAAAAGTGATTACTGAAGCCCCACTGAGTGAGTATTCACTGGGGGTCAGATATGGGGCTGTGTGATCCCCAGTAATGCTGCAGGTGTCTTTAACATTTTATCATTAGGGACTCTGAGGCTTAGAGAAAGTCAGAGAGGGAAACTGCAGAGACGGGATGGGAACCGGCTCTGTCAGATACCAGGCTTCACAGAGGGCACGGTGATGGCTAGTGGAGGAGTGTGGATGCCAAGAAGGGGCATTTGGATCGAATTCTATGGGCTGGGCTCAAGGAAGTCCGAGTTCTCTAGGGAGCTCCAAGCAGAGCCCTGTTCTGGGAATAAATGCTCACATTTTGGATCCTAGGAGGGGTGTCAAGGGCAGCCTGGGACCTGTGTCCCCCACCTTCACCTGCTCCTTGGCCCTCCCCTGCTTAAGCAGCAACTTGCAGTTTATACTATGCATTATGAGGGTTGGGGACAGATAGGTCTGTGATGTTTTCTCAAACTGATTTCATGCACTTTGCAAAGACATCGTCCCACCCAGTCCCCTCACCCACACTCTCCAGATCCCTCCATCCTAAACAGACATTCTAGAGGCGCCACTGCCACTCTGAGCCCTACCCCACCTTCCCAGTAATGTCCAGGCCCTTTCCTGGAAGCCACGGAGATGGCTCCCTGACCCCACCCTTGCACCGCCTCAGCCAGGCTTGAGGCCACCTCTTAGTGGCCTGTTTTCTCCCCAAGGCCTGGTCTGTCAAGATCGCGTCTGCGATTTCCCCTTGACAGAGCTCAGACATCCCTGGCTGCTTGGTGCTCTCGCCTTAGCCTTCTCTAAAATACGGGGAGCCCACCACTCTCCCCTGCCTTGCATTTGACTGTAGGGTGTGTGCAGGGGGCGTGGAGGCAGAATGTGAGGGGGGCTCTTCCAGAAGCTTCACTGTGAAAGGAAGGGGAAGGCACATTTGGAGTGGCAGTGGCAGCAGGTCAAGAATGGGGTTTGCTGAGACTGGGCAGACTGAGGGACGGAGCCGGAGGGGGCAGCACAGGAGGGACCATGCCAAGGGCAGGCGGCAGTGGCCTGGGCCCTGGGGTTCATTTGGGTGGTGGGAAGTTGAAGGCAGACTCTCTGGAAGGGTTCTCTGCTCTGAAAGAGGAGTGGAGGGCGTAGAACTAACAAAAAGCTGGGTTTGAGGCTTGGAAGACAGAGGAGGGAGGCCACCCCTGGGCAGGCAAAGGCGGGGAGTGGGGGGAGACCCAGCCAAGCTAGCAGTCACCCTCCGCGGGGTCTCAGGCTCTCGGTGGAGCCATGTCCTCCGGCCACACTGAGCACTAAGGGCAGGACGGGCTGGTCTGATGGTGCCCTGGATGAAGGTACAAGCTACCTTGTGTCTTCACCGGAATCCTGGGCTCTGGGGTGGAGGTCTAGGCTGGTAAGAGAAGGGAGAAAGGCCAGGAGGATCCGTAGCCAGGGGCTGGATGCCTATGAATCAGAGGTCCTGCCGAGAGGGAGTGGCCACATGCAGCGAGGTGAGGACAGGAGGGAGAGGCGGGCAGGCAGCGCACTGGACACGCCCTGTCCACACAGCTCAGCTGCAGCTGTTCCCAGCCTGACCTAGCACACGACCGGGGAGAGGCAACTCTGGGGGAGGCGGGAAGGCATTTGGCTCCCACACTTCATCTCTGCCTGTCCCCAACCCTCACTAAACACACACCACGAGAACACGCTGAGCACCTGTGCAAACAGGTGCTCCCAGTAAGACGGCTGCCCTGGCTCCTCCCGGGGTAGACATTCTGAAGCCACCTCTGGACATCAGTGAGTATTTCCTGAGCAGCTCCTATATGCCAGGCCCTGCCCTAGGCCCTGGAGACACAGCAGTGAAAAAGACACGAAAACCCCCGCCCTGGCGTGCACCTTCTGGTGGGGGAGACAGGAAACAAACAAGTATGAAAGGATCTGTGCAAAGATGACGGCCGCTAGGGAGAGCGCTGCAGCAGAGAGGGGGAGTGGGAACCGCACGTGTGGGGTGGGAGGCTGCAGTGAGTGCCGGGGGAGGCTCCTAGGGCAGGGGTCACTTGAGTGGCCAGTGAAGGAGGTGGCATCTGCCCTCTTTTCTTCAACACAGTCCACAGCAGGAGCCACCGTCACCCCCAACCTCCACGTGGCCAGGTGGACCGGGCAGTTACCCCTGGCTGTGATCTCCTCCCAGGTCACCCCTCAGACACCCACAAAGCCCTGTTCCCCACACAGTGGGCTGGCTGCAGGTGGGGGCTCTAGTTCCC